AGTTGAAGCCACATATTGTTGAACTTAAAGTGGCAAGGATCCTACCTAACAGCCCCACCGCTAAGACGTATAGGAATTTTTACTGTTAATCTATATAATCATGCATACAACACGTTTTACATCATTCTGACCATCTATTTCCTATTCTTTCCCAAACTTATTAGCATCAAATGAGGTTGAGGTTGAGGTTGAGGTTGAGGTTGAGGTGGTGTTTCTGATGCTAGCACAAAAAATGATGAACGGTTTCTGTATATATGATATTTGCTTTCTATAATATTTTTTATTTACTTACTGCTTATTCCATTGTGTAAAGGTTTTTTATTTTATTTTATTTTATAATTTTCAAGCATATTGTTTGAATTGTGATAGGTAGTTGAGTATCTTTTCATGCAGTGTTGGAATGGCCTCATCTGCTAGTGGACTTTTTCACGTTGATGTGATTGTTTTGGATGAAGTTCATTACCTTAGTGATATCTCTCGGGGCACAGTGTGGGAAGAGATTGTACGTATTTGTTACTGGGGATTCTCGACTTGTTGCATCTAACTTGGTATTTCATCTTCTACTAATCGAATAGTGAATTTTTCAGGTTATTTATTGCCCAAAGGAGGTACAACTTATTTGTCTCTCTGCAACAGTTGCAAATCCAGATGAGCTGGCTGGCTGGATTGGTCAGGTAGTATTTTCCATAAGCACCAAGCATGTGAAACAACCAGCTTAGACAATAAGAAATTGATGTCTGTTTTTTTTTTTTGGGCATCTGACTGAAAATCATGTTCAAAGTTAAAGTGACATTTTGGATTTATTCCTTCTAATTATGGTCATAGTATGATAATGTGAGATGCCGTATAATAAGAAATAACTAATCCTCTGTTGATTGACTACAAAAAGAATTGTATCCCAACATTGATGTATTGAACAAACTCCAGTGTTTAATCCCTGGCAGATAAGCATCACATTACTCACCACCCATTTTTACTTATATTCATAAATTAGTTAATTTTAGTTTTGTAAAGTCGCGTGAACCATCCAAATTTAGATCCTATCCTAGGAAGATCTTTGATAGGCACCCAAGTCGTCCAATTCGCCGTACGTACAGAAAGGAGGTTGGAAAGTGTCGGGAATAAAGGGGACARGGTAAAAAAGGGGGCAAGGGAGGAATAGGTTTAGGTGTGAGAGTGTGTGCTGTACGGTGTTATCCCTCCCTGATTTTGTAATAGGACAGCATGACAATAGGCTACATAGGGAAGGGGTATTTGTCATGGGGTTGGGTCCTTGGAAGTGTATGAGATTAGTAGTTTCTTTTGGTTTTGTCTTAGACTTGTCTAAGAAGTAAGAAGAGAGTTCCTGGCCCCTCTAAGTGCTATGGAACCCAGTTTTACTGTTTTATTGCATTTATGAATGATCTTTCTGAGATAGGTCAACTGAGACCTATCAATCTTATACCAATGCCATTACATCTGATTCGTATTTTTAATATTTGACATATTCTTGCACATCTCACTCATATTTTTTCAAATTTAACCCAGCTCTAGCTGGGGCTTCGATAAATTGATTGAGTTCTTGTGTAATCATATAAGATAAAAGATAATTTAAGTCACCATTTTACCCTTTCTTGTTTCATCATTGGGCATATTTCCGCTTACCAAATTGAATCTCTTTGATCTTTTTCCATTTAGTTTTAATGTCCATACTTTTCATTTCATCTGTGATATGCTTTGGAAATGTATACGCTGCTAAACCTTGTTCCTGAGAGATGGAAGCACTAAGATTTTAATCATGGTAGTAGTATCACTTTAGCTGCTTTGCATCTTTTCAAGTTTCAACATATAGAGGGAATAGAATTTAATACCTACTCAAGACAGATCTGTGGTCTACACAACTATGTCCTGAATATCACATTTGTTTGCTTGTCCTCTTCTGGTCCTTGTTATAATGCAATTGGTAATCGCTCGGTTTGTGCTTAACATTCTCTATTCATCGATATTATTGCGTCCTTTTCTGGGCCATGAGTTTTCTAGGATGTTATAGCCTTCAGTAAGTACTGATTCTTGTTTCTTTTCAACTTGTATGATTCATGGGATGAGTTTTTTAGGACATTATGTACTGAAAGTATATATTGTTCTCCTAATTTTTACAGCTCGGGCAGAGGAGATGAACTTATTCTCCTTTGCAGCAGCTTCTGCAACCAGTCTAGTCTACATAAGCTTATTGTTCCCTACTTATATTATTCTCTCACATATGCCTCTAATAATATGGGGCATATGATGATAATAATAATTTGTTGTAGTTTTCTGAAAGTATATATTGTATTAAAGTTAATTCTTGCTTCTTTTTACTTCTTAAGATACATGGGCAAACTGAGTTAGTAACATCATCAAAGCGTCCAGTACCATTGACTTGGCATTTCTCTACAAAGACCTCTTTGCTTCCTCTACTTGATGAGAAAGGAACGCGCATGAATAGGTATCTTTAATTTCTTTAGAAGTTCTTGGCATAGATTTGATATTAAGCTTAATGTAGCTTCTTGGTGTCCTATGTTCAAACGGTTTTGTAATTATTCCTTTTTGATATTAACTTTTGTTGAAAGCTTTTTATAGGGTTTGGTTTTAAACTGGGGAGTTTCATGCTTGTAATTATCATCACTTGTGAGGTTAATTTAGTATCCGATGAAGTTCTAGCGTTATAACTTTTCAAATCAATGAAAAGTTGAGTTCCTTTCTCAAAAAGGAAGAGAAAAAGAAAAAAATATTTAAAAACAACCAAATATGCCCCCACAACTTTGTAAAGACGGACAGTATTGGTTATCAGCTGATAGATTAGTCAGTTTTTCATATTACTCCTGCCTCGGTTATTCAACGTAAAAATATGAACTTAAAAATGTCTCTTGGAATGGGATTTGAGTGTTTATAATAATTTATGGTTTTTTTTTTTTTTTTGAATACAACATGTTGGGGAGGGGATTCGAACTCACAACAACTTGGTTGGAGGTATATGYCAATTACCGCTGAGCTATGCTCGCTTTGGCAGTAATTTATGGTTTTTGGTGCGACCGTTTATATTTTATTAATGAAAATTTTCCTTAAACATGTATATATATGATTGGGGAATTTGAAATACTTTACCAGTGTTCACTTTTTTCCCCCCAACTTGGAGCAGGAAGTTGTCGCTCAATTATCTTCAGCTTCATGCTTCAGGAGCTAAATTGTACAAGGATGATGGATCAAGAAGAAGAAACCCAAAAAGGCATGGGAATGAGATCAGCTATGACAGTACTAGCAGCATGTCTAGGCAAGCTACACTTTCAAAGAATGACATAAACACAATCCGCCGTTCAAATGTACTTGGTGAACCAGCCTCTCTATCTCCATTCAACTTTCCAATGTTATGCTGCTTAACCCAACGAAAAGAATATTCTAACAGGTTGCTTGTTATCTTTCCAGGTTCCTCAGGTCATGGATACATTATGGCAACTCAAGTCTAAGGATATGCTGCCAGCAGTTTGGTTTATATTTAGCAGGAAAGGATGTGATGCAGCTGTTCAGTACATTGAAGGCAGAAACCTCTTAGATGAATGCGAGAGGAGCGAAGTTGAACTTGCATTGAGGAGATTCCGTATTCAATTTCCAGATGCTGTGAGGGAATCGGCTGTGAAAGGACTTCTGCAAGGAGTTGCTGCACATCATGCTGGCTGTCTGCCTTTATGGAAGTCATTCATTGAAGAGTTGTTTCAAAGGGGACTTGTGAAGGTTGTTTTTGCAACAGAAACATTAGCTGCTGGAATTAACATGCCAGCTCGGTCAGCAGTTATTGCATCCCTGAGCAAAAGAAGCAACAACGGTCGTACCCAGTTAAGCTCAAACGAACTGCTTCAAATGGCAGGGCGAGCTGGACGTCGAGGTATTGATCAAAAAGGTCATGTGGTGCTTATTCAAACTCCATATGAAGGCGCTGAAGAATGCTGCAAAATTCTGTTTGCTGGGATTGAACCACTTGTTTCTCAGTTTACGGCTTCATATGGAATGGTCCTGAATCTTCTCGCTGGTGCAAAGGTTACTCATTCAAGTGAAATTGACGAGACAAAAGCTTTCCTAGCTGGGCGAACACTGGAAGAAGCTAGGAAGTTGGTTGAGCAGAGTTTCGGAAATTATGTTGGGAGCAATGTCATGCTTGCAGCAAAGGAGGAGCTTGTTAAAATAGAAAAAGAGATTAAAATGCTCAATTTGGAAATAACTGAAGAAGCTATTGATCGAAAGAGCAGAAAGTTCTTGTCAGAGGTGGCATATAATGAGATAGCAGAGCTGCAGGAGGAACTGAGATCAGAGAAACGTCACAGGACAGAACTGCGAAAAGAGATGGAACTACAAAGAATCTATGCGCTCAAATCTCTGTTACAAAATTTAGGAGATGGACATTTGCCGTTTTTGTGTTTGCAATACAAAGATTCTGAAGGAGTTCAACATTCAGTTCCTGCGGTTCTCCTTGGAAACATGGATTCATCAAAATTTAATAACATGTTTCCTGTTGATAATGCTTTGAGTGCTGCAGAATCAAATCTTGGTATAAACCTGGACCCAGGTGCTGAATCATCTTATTATGTGGCTCTAGGTTCTGATAACTCTTGGTACCTATTTACTGAGAAATGGATCAGAACTGTTTATAAAACAGGCTTTCCCAATGTCGCTTTAACAAAAGGGGATGCTTTACCTCGAGAGCTTATGAGGACGCTTCTTGATAAAGAGGGAATGARGTGGGAGAAGCTTGCTGACTCCGAGCTTGGCAGTTTATCATGTATGGAAGGATCTCTGGAGACATGGTCTTGGAGTTTAAACGTGCCAGTTCTGAATAGTCTTTCGGAAAATGACGAACTCTTGCAAATGTCTTCATCTTACATGGAATCTTTAGAAAGGTACAAGGAACAAAGAAATAGAGTTGCACGGTTAAAGAAAAGGATTGCTAGAACTGAAGGATTCAGAGAGTACAAGAAGGTTTTAGATATGGCCAATATCATAGAGGACAAGATTAGACAACTGAAGGCCAGATCAAAACGACTGAGTAATCGAATTGAGCAAATCGAACCATCCGGTTGGAAGGAGTTTTTGCAGATCAGTAATGTGATACATGAAATCAGAGCATTGGATATAAATACTCATGTGATGTTCCCACTTGGAGAAACTGCAGCCGCAATACGAGGTGAAAATGAGCTCTGGATTGCAATGGTTCTCAGAAACAAATTCTTGGTACAACTAAAGCCTACAGAACTAGCTGCTGTTTGTGCAAGTTTAGTTTCGGAGGGCATCAAAATTCGTCCCGGGAGAAACAACAGTTACATATTCGAACCATCCACAACGGTAATGAATATGATTGATTTCCTCGAAGAGCAGAGAAGTTCTCTTTTACATCTTCAAGAGAAGCATGGAGTGGACATACCATGCTGTCTGGACAGCCAGTTTTCAGGTATGGTTGAGGCTTGGGCTTCTGGTTTGACTTGGAGAGAAATGATGATGGATTGTGCTATGGATGAGGGAGATCTAGCACGACTCTTACGACGAACTATCGATTTGTTGGCTCAAATACCGAAATTGCCCGATATCGACCCATCTTTGCAGAGCAATGCATCAACTGCTTCTAATGTCATGAATCGTCCACCGATCAGTGAGTTGGCCGGATAACCTTGGCTGAAATGAATGGTATGGTTTTCATTCCAACTAACTTAGCTCTTCATAGATGAATATATTTATTCCTTAAGCTGCATTTTTTCACAAGGCAAATGGCCAATGAACATTCAAACGTCATTTAGCTGTTGGCTCATCATGAGGGAGGGGGAAGCATTCCAAGAGTCTCCACATCAAAAACAAAATATTTGCGACAAAATATTTGCTTTCAGCCAATACAAAAATTGAAGGAAACGATGCATTCCAAAACCTCGCAGAGGAATTTTGGGTAAAATATGACTCAATTTTAAAAAAAGATACATTTTTTTACTTGAAACATAACTCAAGAAAATCCTAGATCAAGTTTAGATCGAAAGTGACCAGGTATGTGAGCATAATTGGTACACTCAAACAAGAGTTTAAATGTCAATGTTGATGAAAATATCGATGTTGATAGATATTTTTGAAAAGATTATAAAAAAATTGTAATATATATTTAAATTAGCAAAAAGAAAAAGGCATTTAATTGAAGTAGATCATGCTGTAATATTTTTCATGCCTGTTCCAAAAAATATTGATGCTATAGCATGTGCTACTTTAGTTAAATACTTTTTTTTTTTTTTTTTGCAATTCAACTATGTTGAGGTGTATTCCAACATATGGATGGATGAAAAATACATTTATCATTAAAAAAATCACCAAAAGGTGCATTCAAATATTCATTTCCATTATCAGGGTTTAAAATGCAAATTTTCATTTACAATTGGATTTCAACTGTATTGTAAAACGGTTTAAAATATCTCGTTCAAGATATTTTTTTCCACTAAATAAACTCAATATAGATAAGTTTAGTCATAACAATTTTTTTTTGAGTCCTAATTTAGGAAGCACTCATCCAGAGAGCAAGCATAATAGAGGGCGGAGGAGTGAGTAAAAAATAACTCAATCTCTTTCCCTCTTCTTCTTCACTACCCAAAGCACAAGTTCTTTTTTTCGTTTTATTATTCTTTCATCCTCTCTTAAATCTCACGTCTCCCTCTTCTTTTACCTTTTCTATTTCATTATCACCACCACAGTTTTTTTCAATCCCTCAATCACTCCAGCGAACACGAACGGCACGACGACTAGTAGCAGCACGACCCCGACGCCCTCCAACAACCACCGGTGAATAGATTTGACAATATTCCGAGACGGCAAAGAGTCCGGTGACCCACTTTGACATCCACGAGCTCCTATTATTTTTTGACAAAAGCCAGACGATAGAAATCTCTTTTACCTTTTTTTTTAAATAATAACAAAAAAAATTCTTTTTAAACAAAAGAAACAAAAATAAACATTTTTAAAATAAGTTTTAGAAAATAATATAAATTACTTCACAGTAAGATTTGTTTTAAAATAAAATAAAAAGAGTTAATTTTTAAAAAATAAATAAACTTAATTTCATTTAAATAAAAGATTTTGCTTTAAAATTTTGGTTAAAATAAGTTTAAAAAATTAGGAGTTTTATAAAATAAATCTGGTTTAAAAAACAAATTGGATTCTTTCAAATTTCAATTCAAAAGTTTAAAAGTTAATTTTTATTTAAAAAGGAAATTTTTTTAACAAGGTTTTTTCGTGTCAATTTTTTTTATTTAAAAAAAAAAGTCTTATGCTGCAGGATTTTTAAACGATATAGAAAGATAGTAACTAAAGAAAATCTTTTTAGAATATAATCTCATATTTGTAAAATTCATTTTAAACAAGTTTGGCGGTTTGGTGGTTATGGTTTGAAAAAGAATCTTAACAAAAATATCAGTTTTAGCAAATAAATTTTGTTTAAAGTAAATTTGATTTTATTTTGAAGTAAAAGTTTTTTTTCTTTTAAAGAATCTCTTTAATTTCGAAATAAATAAAAAAATTAGTTTAAAACAAAATTCGTAAGTTTTTTTTTAGTTTTTAAAAAATAAATTAAAAGCTTTGTTTTTGTAAATATTACAACGTTTGCATCTCAGGGTGTTGGCATAGTGGTAAGATGCTTGAGTTTTAATATATATGACCCAAGTTTGAGTCCTTGCATGTCTCAAAATAAAATTATTTTATTTTATTTTTTTATCATTGTTTTACTAAATAATTATTTTAAATAAAAGATTTCGGTTAGAGTTTTTTTGTAAACAAAATTCAAAAAAACAAAATTTTTATTTTAAAATGGAACATAACTTATATCCCGAGGTGTTGGCACGTTGGTGAGACATTTGAGTGTTAATACTTAAGTTATAATTTCAAGTCTCAACATTCCCTAAAATATTTATTTATTTATTATTTTTTTTGCTAAATAAAGCACAAAAATATTTTCTTTTGGACCAAATAATATAATAAGATCATTTACGACAAAATGTGATACCGTTTTCGAACGGATGTCGTAGGTCGTAGGGTGCTAACACCTTCCCTATGCTCAGTCGACTCCAGAACCAAAAATTATATTTTCGTAGACCAAGTTTTTTTAAATAGGTGACCAATCACATACTACAAGAATATTGTTGTTTGGCGACGAAAATTAAGGACGAAAAAAATTTTCGTCACGAGTAAGCGACGAAATTAATAATTTTCGCAAAGGAGCGACGAAAAACGAATTTCGTCGCTTAAAAAGCGTGAAAGGAACTTTCGTCGCCCACCTCAACAAGGAGTGACCAAACGATTTCGTCGCTGGGTGTAAGAGGGTGACAAAATTTCAATTTCGTCGTCCCATTTTGAGGGCTCAATGAAAAGAAGGGCACGCCTTTTCGTAAAATGAAATGGCGCCATTTTGGCGCTGGTCGACGAAATCGTTTTAGTTGTCCCCTTCCAAAACCCCCAAACCCTTCTTCTCCCCCATTTCTCCTTTCTTCTCCTTTCTTTCCTCTCGGGTTTTCTTCTCCATTTCCAGTCCCCATCGTCGCTGACGCCTTATTGCCGCCGTTTCTTCCATTATTTCGCCGGTAAGTTGTACGATTTTCGTCAAATGTAAGTTTATTTCATTTTTAAAGTGTATTTTACTTCATTTAACCTTACATGCAATTTGTTTTTTTGTAGATTTCGTTTTGTCTTCACTTCGGCGTTCAAACGAAGAGTTACCCCGTTGTCTTTGTAAACACCGTCGCGAAATACAATTTTCGTGACGGTGAAGCACCGTCACGAAAGGATGTCACGTGACCTCTCCTCCCCTTTTCAAGGTCTTTCAGTGACATTCTATAATCGTCACAAAATCATTTTACATGACGGTTTATGAACGTTGTGGAAGTCCATGTCTTTCGTGACGCTAATTAACCGTCACGTGTGCTAATTTTGGTGACGTTTTTTAAACGTCTCGTATACCTTTCGTGATAGGCGTATACGGGATGCCAATAAAAACGTCACGAAAGATTTTTGTGACTCCAAAAAAACGTCACGATAAACCGAATTTCTAGTAGTGTTGGGTCGAGTTTAAATCGAGGTAAATGTATTTCGTTTTAAAACTTTAACTTACTTGATTTATATTTATGTCATATTTTGTTGGGTCGATTCATTCACGATTGGGGGTTGATTTATATTCATATGTAATACTTTTTTTTGTGTAGATTCATTCATGGTTTAAGAGATTTTATTCAATTGTTCTTGTGATAATTACTATTTGGTACAATTTTTCACTCACTTTTTATTTTATTTGAAGTGTTTTTATTATTTAAAGTGGTTTAAAATATTGTTCTTGTTGTGTAGTGTTCAATAATAATATTTGTATATATGTTTAATATTCACTTTAAAATTTGGTTGTAGTTCATTTGGAATTAGACTTAAGATATTTATGCTAATTTATTTTAGAATTCAATTATTAATAATGCAATTCTTTTTTACTTCTTTTATTTTGTTTTTATTTGATAGAAAGTTGCTTTAGATTTGAATTTGTGTGAGGTTGGAATAAAAAAATTTAGGATTGTTAGGCTTATGATTTTATTGTGATACATAAATTTTTTATTATAAGTTCGTACTTTCACTTGTTTAATTATGTTTATAATTATTTGAATTATTACTTTTGAACAGGAAGAATTATGGATAAAAAATCCGGATAGGTTAAGCAAAGAATATACCGAAGGAATTAGGTCGTTTGTTCAATTATCAAAGAAGCATCTCGATAAAAGAGGGTTCACACGTTGCCCATGTACGAAATGTTGAAATTTACAATGGATACGACCATGTGATGTCGAAGGTCATTTGTACTCCTATGGAATGTATCCTTATTATAAGATATGAACTTTCCATGGTGAAACTAGAGTTGCATTCTAAGAGAATACGTACAAACGTGGACCGGAACACAGGTCGGGAACAAGGAATTAGTGAGATGTTAAATGATTTGATAAATGAGAGATACACCGAGTCTAATGAAGAAGGACAATCAGTTAGGGGTGAATCAAGTGATCACAATAGACATGCTCAAAATACCAAGTTTCAATCCATGCTTAATGAACTTGACCAAGAATTATACCCTGGATGTACGAAATTTTCGGTACTAACATTCATGATTAAGTTAATGCATATCAAAGTACTTAATCTATGGAGTAATAAGTCATTTGATATGTTGTTGCAATTAATTACTTAAAGAAGCCCTTCCCAATTACTCTAAAATTCCAGAGTCTTATTATGGTGCAAAGAAGATGTTACSCGATTTGGGCTTAGGATATGAAAAAATACATGCTTGCAAGAATGATTGTATCTTATTTTGGAAAGATAATGAGCAAGCTGATATCTGTCCACAATGTAACGATCCTCGTTACAAAATAGGCAAGGGGAAAGGAAAAAAGATTCCACACAAAGTTTTAAGACATTTCCCATTGATACCTCGATTGCAAAGATTATATCTGTCTAAGCATACGTCAAATGAAATGAGATGGCATAAGGAAAAAAGACTAGACGTAGAAGGGGTTTTACGATATCTAGCTGATGGTGAGGCGCGGAAGGAGTTTGATAAACAACATTCTTGGTTTGCCAGAGATTCAAGGAATGAAAGATTGACCTTGGCCACTGATGAATTTAATTCATTTGGAAACATGAATGTATCATATAGTACATGACAAGTTATATTAATTCCATATAACTTGCCCCCGTGGAAATGCATGAAGGAATCGTTTTGGTTCATGTCATTACTCATACCAGGTC